AAAATGAATCTTCCTGGAAGGTACCACGTCCCCTTTGATACATCAAGGCTTCATACAAACCTCCGCAAGTTTCCACAGCACTAACATTAGGGTCCTCTCAGCTCAAAAGAGTGATCTTTAGCCCTGGGTAATGATAAATACCCACAGCAGGATGTGACAAAACATACAAGGCACAGTGCATGTGCTCCCAACTTGTAGAGGCCACTAGGAAAGAAAAGGGGGTCTCCAGGGCAAAGACTCAGAGCTCTTTGGAGATGAATTCCCACCTTCTTGGGCTCCTGTGGTGTTTAAAACCTCTTTGACTTGCTGGCCCAGAGAAAGATGGGCTGAGACCCCAGAATTGGCCACATTCCCAGGGGCACGTTGGTATTCCTGGGGACTTGGGCTTGGAACACTCCTAGATTCAGCCTCAGTGTCTCTGTCCACAATGAGCAGCTTCCTTGGGACTCTTGCCATGGCCTAGTTGTTGGGCACAGGGGTGGGTTGGGGTGGGAGGAAAGTGGTAGTAGGAAATAAGCCCAAACCATTAATAACCCCTTTCGTGCAAAAGGAGCTACTGTTAGGAGTGAATTGACTAGAATTTCCACAGGGCTTTTGGCCATCAGTGCTACAATTAGGAAACAAGAAGAACCAACCAACAAAAACAAATCTAAACCACAGAACTAAATCACCACTCTGCTATAATTCATAAAAAAGAAAGAAAAACAAAAACCCTTTATTCAACCAGAATCGGTTTCTCCATAGACCATGCTGAGGTTTCTGAACTCTCCAAAGGTCTAGGAAGATCCTAAAGGACCTACAGGGAGTAGGTGGACAGGGTTCATGCAGTTGGATTTGCCCAAGATGCAGAGTGCTTCAGGATAGTTAATGGCCCCCTTATGATTCTCAAAATTGTCTCAGTTTAGACCATAAATTATATGGTCTTCTTGAAAAACAAAGAAACAACAACCAAAAAAAAAAAAAGCAAGCAACTAAAATTAACCTCCTGACTTCAGACCTCAGCCAGTGGAATTTCAAGGCTCTTTCTATATATCTCTTCATCAGGGTGGACAAACTTCAGCCCACTGGACAAATTCAGCCCTGTCCTGTTTTTGTATGCCCCATGAGTGAAGAATGGTTTTTATTAACCATAAAGGTTTCAAATAACAACAAATAGGTAAACGAGACTGTAGGTGGCCTACAAAACCTAAAACAATTACTATCTAGTACTTTATAGAAGAAAGTTGCTGACCTTTGATCCGACTGTCTGGTTTTATAAATTTGAGTAGAAGTCTAGAATTTTGGATCATTTGCTAATGTCATTGGTCCCAGAGAATAATGATGGTTCTGTATCCTTGCTCTACCTTTGTCAAATCCAAGGGTTAACACCAAGCCCCATACTAGAGGCACATCAGTGTTTATGGAATGACATCAACTCAAGCATGTTTGTCAGAGAGTCCCATGAAGATAGCAAAGGGCATAAATCAAGATGTCCCTTCTTTTGCCCCCTGCAAGGGATAGTGATGATGATGAGGAGGAGGAGGAATGAGGTCTGGTCAAGCCTCCCTGTCCTGCACCACAGTAGGTTTCCATTCTGGGGAAAGGGAATGGGTGAGCCAAGAATCCTGCCTCCCCCCAGAAGCCCCTGTAGCCACAGGCCCCACTGGTGGTTCCTCCCATTGGTCACATCCTGAGGTCCAAGCAGGCCCTCAGAGACCCACCTCATTTCCTTCTAATATTCATGCTTGCATATGGTCTGTGGTCCTGTATGTGCTGAGGAAGCCCTGGAAAGGGACATGCATTTTCTACCATAATGATGATCCTGTTTTCTCCTCTTCTGGAAAGCACACTGCTCCAGCATAAAGGACTACTTTTCAGAATCAGAATCTCAGTTCTGCAAAATTGGCTCTGGTTCCAGGAGACAGTTCTTAAAAAAGAGAGAGAGAGAAAACAAAAACAAAAACAAAAACAAAAACCTGTGTTGTCCCCTTGATAGGCCCTGCAAAGTAAGAAAACTCACTCAGGCCCTTCATCTCCTTCTCCATAAAAGGAGAGCTCTTTCTGATGCTCCTTCCTGCCAAAACACTGAGGATTTCATGAAGTCCAACCAATTGCCTGAAATGCTGTTCCCTCCTGTGATTCTCAGAAAAAAAAAAATGCCAACAGTGTAACATACCTCCCAGTATTTCTCTCAGGCATTTATATTTAGAAGCCTTTTAAAAATGGCTATATTGGCCAGTCTCAAACTAGTCAGGCAGTGGTCAGGCCCCTGGTTCTCTTATCCTGATCAACACACTCAGGCTCCTACAGGAGGGCAGTTGACAGGGGATGAGGGATGGTCAGTGACAGAGTTAACAGCAGAGATCAGGTTTCCTGACTCCCAATGTCTTCTTGTAGCTCCTGGGCCCACCAGAGGGCTTGTGTGCACCTCTCAGAGGGGTTTGGTCAGAAAACCCTGAGCCTTGCTTTGTACGTGGAGGATGAGCTGCAAATGTGCAGTGAATCTTTCAGAGCCAGACATTTGCTACTTTGGGACTTTGCTCTAGAAAAGTGTTTTCTTTTGATCTTTTACTCGAGTCATCTCAGAGAGATTAGGCAATGATTTCAGAGTTAGGTAACACTTTTGAAAACTGCTAAATCTCAGACATTTGTAAACCTGGTGTTATCCCTTCTCATTTCTGTGAAGGCAATTTGAGGGAGGTGTTTAAACATTTTGAGAAAGAGAGTTATGTGTGGAGCTCACTTTTGCAGATTATACACGAGCTGCTTAAGCTTTTGTTATAGTTCAGATATGAAGTATCTCCCAAAGTGTTGGAGTCTTGGTCTCTAATGCAGCAATGTGCACAGGTGGAGATTTTGGAAAGTGATTGGATCATGAGGGCTCTGACCTCATGGATAGATTAATTCATTAAGGGATTCATATTTTCTGGCCTTATTGGGAGGTGGTGGAAACTGTGACATAGGTCCTAATCAAAGGGGTCACCAGAAGTGTGCCCTGGAAGCGCGTAGCTTATTCCTGACTCTTCCTCAAATGCTCTACTTCTTGGCTGCTGTGAGCTGAGCAGCTTTCCTCCTCCACATCTTTACACCATGCTGCTCTTCCTGGCCTCCAGCCAGAGCCATGGAGCCAGCTGACCATGGACTGCAACCTCTGAAACTAGGTATATTTCAGAAAATACACCTTTCCTCCTCTAAGTTGTTTTTCTCAGGTATTTTGTCCCAGTGAGAAGAAGCTGACAACACAGCTTTCATATACTCTATTGTCCTCTGCAGAGCCATTGTTGACTTTCCCAGTCAGCCACTGCTGACTTCAGGTGACTTTCCCAGGGTGGCAGAGGGCTGAGGGGTGTGAAAACTTCTGGAGGCAGTTCACCACCTGCCTCACCTGCCCATCCTATTTTTTTGAACTTTGAAATAAAATACCTCTGAAAATCTTAGGTAAAATGTCCACTATCCAGTGGAGAGGGGAGGGCCCACCAGCAGCTGATTCATTTTGCTGCCTACAGAGTTTGATCAGGCAGTTCAAAGCTACGACAGCCACTGACAGTTTTCCCACGTATGCCTGAACACATCAGTCTGTGCTGCAGTTCAAGAACAAGTGAAAGGGTAGAAAAGCTATGACCTCAGATAACTAAACATGGGTGCAAATAACAGAGGCCCCTGCACTTCTCTTCCCTGGCACTATCGTCTCAGCTCTGAGCAGCCTTTATTCCCAAGAAAACTTAAAAAGCACTAACTCCCTTCTTCCAAGCCTTACAGCTTTACCACAGCCATTGATGATGACCTACATGCTTGTACATCTAAGGTCGGTATGTGAAAAAAAAAGAGATTTAAAATATTACTCCCCTTCCTCTGGCTCTAAGAATAGAAGGACAGTTTCACTTTTGTTTTTTTCTATTTTTATTACATTTTTTTTTTTGCTTTTGAGATATATACAAACCAACCACTCTCCTCTACCACACACACACCAAAAAAAAAAAAAAAGTCATTCTTGTGATTTTAAAGTGCAATTCCTCTTTGTGTACAAAAATATTTATTTAAAAAAAAACATGCAGAAATTTCTCCACAAGGCACTTCTAGGCATAAAATGAAGACAAGTCCTCAGTTCTACATTCTCATTGAAGTCAAAGTGAAACATCAGAGCTGCAGACTCCAAGTCCTCACAGGTCTAGCAATCTCTAGGAACGGATCAGCAGAAAAACTAAGATTTGTTGCTTTGTGACTTGCATTGCAATACTTCACAACCATGACCAGGAAAAGCAGCCTGTCCCCAATGTGTCATCCCACTTCAGGAAATTAAGATAAGCTGCCAAATTGCTTCAGGTGACCCTATAAGATCCCATTGTAGGTAAGATCCCATTACTGTGTGTAACTTCTCATCTCCAATTTCAGTCCATCATGTCAGGAGAGGCAATTAGATATAGACCTTCCCAGAACAAAGAGCTACCAGGTCTCCATCCAGGGGAGGGATTTTTTAAAAATATATTTTTTTAGTTGAAGATGGATGCATTCTTTATTTTATTTATTTTTATGTGGTGCCAGGGATGGAAACCAGTGCCTCACGCATGCCAGGCAAGCACTCTACCACTGAGACACAACCCCAGCCCCCAGGGGAGGGATTTTAAAAGCAGAAACAAATGAAAGACAATCAAAGTTGTCATTCATTGTCTAATGAGAGGGAAGACAAGACACTTCTAAAAAAATGAGCACACATAGCTCATCTAATATCCAAATGCCTACACATAATGCTTTTTTTAAAAAAAAAGCAAAGGAGATGCAAAGATCGAAATCCACAAAGCAGTTCAAAATGTGTATCTTTAAATAAAACAATCTATTATTTTTTATAACCATTAAAATTAAATCTCAGAGATAAAGTAATTCCACCATGGACTCAGATTGTTTTAATTTCTAGGGAACTGCACAGCTCTATTTCTAACCAGTTTTCCTCTAATGAGAATTTTTTTAAAACCCACTCACATGCTTCATATCATCCAAGAAACACTGAAAGCTTATTACATATCTAGATAGTCCATCTTATTTATTGCATCCAATTTGCAAAAGCACCCCAGGGCATTTTGGGAAATAATATGAAACAAAAATGGCGTTGTTTCCCCATTTCTAGAGTATTGCATCTGACAACACAGTTCTGGACAACTGCACAATGGCAGGTGGTTGGTCCTTCTGGGCAATCTGGGAAGGACAATGCGACTGGGGCTATTCGTCACCATAACCAAGAGCTGTGTGAAGGGAAGTCCAAAGGTCAGGCTGTAGTGAAATTTTCATCTAAGGAACTGATCACCCTCTGAAGTGTATAAGCCTTATCCATTGATGGTGAGCTATGAAATCAGGGCAGAGTCCCTCAGTGAGATTCTTGAGGTCATTTGAGAATCATGGGACAGACCAGGCCAAATGGAGAAAGACTGCAATGAGGACACACACAGTTCTTCAGGTACATCTACCCCAATAAATGACAGCCCTGATGACAGAAGTCAGGCAAGCAGATTCTTTCATTGGAGAAAAAGGCTCTTTGGAAAGCAGGTGAGGACTTGCCTTCTGAACTGAGCGGTGGGGTAAGCACCCCAGGTGTGCAGACTGGGGGCTTGCAACCATTGCCCCCCAGCAAAAAAAAAGCTGAGGTGGGCTGGGAGGAAAAAAGGGAAGAGATGCTTATCACTGAATTTATTATATTTCAAATTTTGACAAGGGAATGTCTTAGGATCATTATTACATAAAACCAAACAGGCTTTCTTCTAGAACCAGTTGAGGCCCCTTTCTTCTGAACATGGAATGATCCTTATTTTGGTGACCTGTAAATAACAGTGTGCCTTGTTCCCTTCCTACATTGGGACGTGACACTTATTAACACAAAGCAAAATTCATGACCTACATGAGATCAGTTTTGCTGCCATTTGACTTAGACTTATGCTATTAATAGCTCTGACCACCAAATTTGTAACATCTCAAGTACCATCTGAGTACCTGATGTAGTACGGTATATTTAGATAAAACACAGTCTTGCCCAATATCAGCCATAAAATAAAAATGTGACTTCCTCATAAATTATATTATCATGTAATCAGAATGTAACCCACTTGGAAGAGGCATTAAAAAAAAAAAAAGCACTAGATTGAAGACTAGTAACAGCCAGTTTTAGGAACAAGGATTATACCAAATATCACTGAGCATTTAAAAAGTCAAAACATTTTAAAGTTCAAAAATGAAAAACTAAAAACAAAACAAAAAACCCAACCACAAAACTCTAGGAGCGAAGGCACTCAATGTCTGCCTGATATCAATGTACAAAGTCACAAATCAGGAGGTTGTTTCTAATTATTCTGGAAAAATTCAAGCAAGAGACTCTGCTTGGCAAGTCCAGCAGCTGTGCCCCTGAATCCAGGCAACGACGTACACTTTCGTAAAATCAGGCAAAAAAGAGAATTGAACAGTCTTTTAACCCAACTCCAAAACCAAACAAAAACCAGAAAAAAAATTCAGATTTCTACAAATATACATGTAAAAATATTTTTCATACACCCCTAATTTAAAAACCAATCCTACCCAAGAAAAAATCACAGGTTTGGGGGATCCACCTGACAATGAATGTCCCAGGAGTCTCACAATAGCATTAACCAACATGCTTTAGTCCAATATGGTTAAAAATAATTAATCTCTGATATTTCAGAGTTGGCAAACATTTAAAATAACATATGAGAATGTAGTGAGGTTTTTCTCCCCTATCCCTTTACATATTCACACACCATAAATAAGAACACCCAAATCAATGTCCCTGGGTGCTTGTAAAGTGTCCTGGATATTGTATATCACAGTCAAAATAAAACCAAACATTTTCTGAAGGCTTTGAGGATATGCTGGATCTGCAAATCAAGTGTCCCAAACACAGCATAAAAGATGACTCTCCAGGAAATGAGATCTACAATTCTTCTGTAGAGAATGAGGCTAGCAAAGCAGCCAAGCAAGTGAAAACAAATCTTGTCATTGAGCCTTCTGGTGACTCGGGGTGAAAGTAAGTGCTTAGAAAGCTCCCCCAAAAGCCAAGAAGAAAAGCTAAAACTCATGACTGTCCTGCCTTGTAATAACCCTGCAATCTGCGACCCCACACAGGAGCCAGTGACTTTCCATAATGGTGTGTTGCTCTCTGTGGAATATGGATGTGGGTTCAGGAAGATGGGAGGAGGAAATTCCTGCCTCTGTCACAAGCCTTTATTATCTTTTCCTGAACATTGGATGAACGGTGGAAAAAAATGAAATGCAAAACATAATTTGCACAAAAAATGAGCAGATCCCATCTCTCTTCTGTAGCTGTTATTACAAATGGGTGACATAATGTCAGGCTGTTGTGTCACAGCACAGAGATAAGGGGTGCTTCTGAGTAGATATGAACAGCAGCAGCAGAAAAGACCTGGCGGATGCAGAGAACCCAGACGTCGATGGAGAGGGTCTGATGGGGGTGACTGCTTCCCACATCTGGGTGTAGAGAAGAGGTCAGGCTCCTCCGGCCTCGCCACACTGCCCACAGGCTTGGTTCCTACCCGACTCTTTCTGGCAGCATCCTGCTCATTCCCAAGTGGCCACCTTGGGTGCCACAGAGGACCCAGCGAACCCTCTGAATGAGAAACCAGTTCTATGATCTAAACCTGGCTGAATGTGCTGGTTTAAGAAAAAAAATAGACAGGATTCTTTCTTTGTGAAAACTGGGCCTAACAGCAGTTCATTCGGCTCTTCTCTTGGCTTCTCCATTGCATGGTGACCAGGGCCACACACCTGTGAACTGCAGTCACTAATAGTAGGGCCCTAGCTTTTCATATCCTAAGTAACTAGGCCACTCGGGAAACAGACCGTAGGAACACCGAGGGCTTCCAAACTGGTCTAAGGAGATTCCAAAATCCGGTCCATTATGTGGCTCCACGGTTCCCTGAGTGGATTTCAACTCAGCCTGGATGATCCGATAGTTTTTGCCCCTGTTGCTGTCCCAGTACGCCTGGCCATTGCACTCGTAGCACACAGCAAACTCCATTCTTTCATAAGACTGAATTTTCTCAGGTAAGCTAATGTCAAAGGAGAACGTGTCCCTGTCTGAACCAGCGTAAGTGTCCTTCACATACCGACAAGGAAAGTCTGTGAAGCTTTTCCAGGTGTCAAATGTCATTCTGATTTTCACAATCTTCTCGAATGCCAGGTTCTGCACCTTCACGGTGCCTGCGATGGCTTTGTCCTTCAGCACACAGTTTTCGAGGCAGACATGGTTGGCCTGAAGTCGATTTCTAAAGTCCAAGTAATCTGCAGAAGGCTGTGAAAAATCCAGAACAAAGCTCTCGCTCTCTGCTGTCGTCAGACTCACAATGTTGTCTAGGAGCTCGGTGATGTTAAAGGGAATATCTAATGGGTCATCAAATTCCGAGAACACTTTGACCATTGTGAGGGCCAGTCCTTGGTTGTCTGCGAAGGACACCCGCTTTTTCACCTTTTTCTCCTGCACCGCAGGGGCCACCAGCCCGCTGGCTTCATTCCGGCTGCCCAGTTGAATGCAAGGCCTCAGCGGCTTGCTGGGCTTGGGGGAGATCTTGAAGGCAAACCGCTCGCGGCGCAAGGATGGGGCCATGCAGTTGTATCTGTACTCTATGTCCACAGCCATCATGGGGCTAGATGGATAGGTCAGAACCCTGGCAGGAAGAGGAGGAGAGAAAACAGCAACGAGATCAGATAGATGTTCCAACACCTGATGCCAGCAGAACTGGGCATGCCACTGTGCTGGCCGACTCCAGGGTGGCCTCACAGGACATGGGTCTCAGGGGGAGATTATGTACGTGTGGGTGGGGTGGGGTGGGGTGGGGTCTGAAATTAAAACCAAAAATATGGAACCCACTAGTTTCTTTTTTTTGTACTGGGGATTGAATTCAGGGGCACTGGAACACTGAGCCACATCCCCAGCCCTATTGTGTATTTGATTTAGAGACGGGGTCTCACTGAGTTGCTTAGCGCCTCACTTTTGCTGAGGCTGGCTTTGAACTTGCGATCCTTCTGCCTGAGCCTCGGAAGCTGCTGGGGTTTTTAAAACTAAATTCACAGGTTTTCCTGTCAGGATGAGCTAATGCACCATAAAGGATAAAGAAAAGGGCACTCGGCAGAATTTCTCAAACTTACTTGACTAAAGAATCCCTTTTTTGGTGGAGTGTACTCGATAAACAGCTTTCCTGAGGCACACACTTTGGTAAATACTGCTACTTATTATTAACTGATAAGTAAAAGCTATATATATATTTATGGCTTCCAATATTATATTTTTTTCATGTTTATTTTATTCTAAAAATATAGATTAAATTTGTTTTTATTAGTATATTTTGACAGATGAACACATTGTGGAGTGGCTATTGGATGTATTTGGCGTATGCACTGCCTCACATACTTATTTTGTATGTATGTGTGGTAAGAACACTTAAATCTATTTTCTTAGCCGTTTTCAAGTATACAATATATTGTTAACTATAGCCACCATGAGGTACAGCAGAACTCTTGAATCTTCCCCTCCTGCCAAATTAAAATTTTGTGTCCTTTGACCAACAGCTCCCCAGTCTCCTCAGTGCCCAGCCCCTGGTAACTAGCATTTCAGTATTTGTCCTTCTGCACCCAGTTTACTGTACTTTTAACACAATGTCCCCAGGCTTATCCTTAATGCTGCAAATGACAAGATTTCATTCTTTTCTATGGCCAAAACAGTATTCCATTGTGCACATATGCCACATTTCCTTTACCCATTCATCTATTAGCGGATCCTGAAGTTGACTCCATTGCTCAACTATTGTGAATGATGTCACAATGAGCCTGTGAGTGTGGCTACCCTTTGAATATGTACCCTGTAGTGGGACCGTTGGGTCATATGTTAATTTTTAATTTTTGGAGGACTCTCCACACTGTGTTCTGTAATGCTTGTACTGATTTACATTCCCACCAATACTGTACGAGGGTTCCCTTTTTCTAAATCCTCTTCTATACTGTTATCCTTCACATTTTTTACAATAACCATTATCATATAAGTGAGGAAACATCTCATTATGGTTTTAATCATAAATATTGTTTTAGTCCAAGAAAGAAATCATTTTCAAGAATACAAATATTGATTTCATGTTACTACATGCCAGGCATTATGCTAGATACTAGGACTCAATGGTGAAGACGGATGCAAATTTGTTTACTTTAAACATCATATGTATAATGGTATATTTGGTATACCATTAATATTCTAGCATATTTTTTTAAAAAATCAGCAATTTATTATTTTTAAAACTGTCACATAGATGAACAGTTTGCCTTTTATATAAGTTAAACTAGCTGCTATAAAAATAAAAAGCAAATAGAATCATGCAAAAAGAGATTAAATTCGGCTTCATAAAAATTATCTTAGTATAAATGAAAAAATAAATAAAACTGAAAATATTACAAAGAAAAACTCAGAAAATATTTTACAATAAGAGCTGCAGCAGAGTTAATACCTTAATATATAAAGAGTTCTTACAAAGTAAGAACAAAGTTAAATATTTTTTCAAAGTTAAATATTATACCTAGAAAAATGAGCAGGAAGTATGAATAGAAAATTCTTGAAAGAAAATTTAAATTGGCCATCAAAATATACAAAATGTCCAAGCTTAAAGTTAATTTAAAAATTTAGGTTAGAAACAATCTATGTTTTTTTCTACTGAATCAGGAAAGAATGTTAAAAGATAATATAAATCTTTTTATTAATCTAAATTATACAACCTTTCTAAATATTATTATTTTTGTTTCAATATCACATACAGATATTTATCCTATGTAAGTAATTAAAAACATATGGAAGTTAATATACTAAAATTTTAGTGCAACCTTATAGGGGCAAAAGAGGAGTCACTAATAGGTACCTAGTTAAATCAACTGTAACACATTTATATTATTTAATTTTACATCATTAAAATTATTATATGAAAAACATTTAAATGACATGGAAAAATTTTACAACATATTCTAATATTAAAAACGAAGAAAATAAAATTGTATATAAAGACCAGACTGGTGAGGAGCAATATTACATAAATATATTGAAAAAGACTAAAAATAGAGTAGTTCTCCCATTACTATGATTTCAACTTCCAGTGTTCAACCACAGTCCAGAAACGTTAAAATGAAAAAATTCCAGAAATACACAAGTCGTAAGTTTTCAACTGTACCCCATTGTGCACAGTATGAAGAAATCTCCCGCCCCAACTTGGTCCCACTTGTTCCTAGGATATGAATCATCCCCTTCTCCAGATTAGCCATCATATATACACTTCCTGTCCATTGTGACTAAGTAGCTGTCTCAGGTATCAGATAGACTGATGTTGTGTCACAGTGCTTGTGTTCAAATTGCCCATATTTTACTTAATCAAGTCCCCAAGAGTAGTGATGCAAAGGAAGCACCTGAATATGTAACATGGAAGGACAGATTAACTTTGGTACTATGTGGCAATACACAGGACACAAGGAGGGAAACACCATGCAGAGAGTTTGGAACTACTTGAGGTTTCAGGCATTCATTGGGGGGGGGGTAGGTCTTGAAGTCTACCTCTTGTAGATAAAGAGGTACTTACTGTACAGTTAAAACTATCAGAATACCCACGTTCAGGATTTCAGGAAATGTTTTCCTGCTTTATATTTTCTTTCATCTCCTAAAATAATGTTGCTTTCTATAATCAGAAAATAAGTGAATCTTGGGAAAAAAAATATCTTAAATTTGCTAAAACCCCATCCTGATACTGTTGCCTCACTAATGTGAGTACTTTTTTCATTTTGATTACTCTGGGCTAATGTGAAGAATATAATGATAAACCAGGATTAAAATCTCAACTCAAAATTGCAGAACACTGGATTAGTTCCCCAACAAACCTCCCTTTCTCATAGCAAAGGTGTAGTATATGGCAGTGCAGGGGTGCCTGTTCTCTCAGGCTGCACTGCTGCCCCTGAAAAGTGACAGACAAAATGTTGTTCATCTTTTGACAAGAGTTGGGCACCACTGATGTGACCCAATAAATAAGCTCTCTTTTTAAATTTTGATTTTGATTAACCTAATATATAATGCAAAAGTTGAGAAAAGACAAATGCATATCAGGTGTGATCCCAATTTTTTTTTTTTGAAAAGTACAACACTTTCCTAGGATGCAGAAAGCACTTTGCCATGACCAGTTAGAGAAACACAAATTCAGAGACAAAACAATAATTCACAGTTGTAAGGCATGCCTTACACAACATTCATTTTAAAGGATATTTATCTTACTGTTTCACCTCTACCAAAGTCAATCCAGTGAAGTTTTGCAAAGCAATTTTGCTTGCTATTATCTCTTGTTAACCCATGTAATTGTTCTGGAAAAGGAAGTTCTGATTGAATGGGACAAGATGGCTTTACAGTAGAGGATCATTGGGTTAACTAATTTTTTTAAGACCCTACACTTCTATATCACTTGAATGTTAGTTATTCCTGCACATTGAAAAATTGTATGTGAGAGGGGCCGGAGTTGTAGCTCAGTGTTAGAGAGCTTGCCTAGCATGTTTGAGGCACTGGGTTCGATCCTCAGCACCACAAAGATAAATAAATAAATTAACTGTGTACATCTACAACACACACACACACACAAAATTATATGTTAGAGTATATTAGAATTAAACATTCAGTTCTAACTTTAGCACAGGGTTTTTTTTGTTTGTTTCAAATATGAATTAAAACCAACCAACCACACAATAGCCCTGGCCTTGCATCCCAGCGCTTTTCCCTCTGCCCACCCTTGAAATCTTGAGTATGAACTGAGGAGGAGGGGTTCCTCCTGGGCCCACTGCTTCCTCCTGACCTGAGTCAGCCCAAGGTCAACTGTAAGTTCTCTATGCACTTCCAACAAGCCTGCAAATCAAACTTAGCTGGGCTTTCCCACATGTCTTTAAAGCTCATTAGAAAAAGGTTGAGAACCTTTCAAGATACTGTGGAAACAGAAATGCAAAGCAAAGGGGTCAATTAAAGAATCTACATGTTCTCCTAAGTTATGATCTCACAGGTTAAAGAGACTTTGTTGGAGATTTCAATAAAGTTAAGCTGTTTGGTCCCAGTAGTGTAAATTTATGCCACCAGTCCCCCAACCCCTTTTATTCCCAAGCTGTAAGAACAAGTTAAACTGGATGGGGCGGGGGGGGGGGGGGGGGAAGGTTCTAGTCAGAGTCAGTACAAATTCAACAATTATACTAGCATTTTCAAGAGTCAAACTGTTTCTGCAATATTCTTCCAAGAAAGGCAAAAGTTAGGTTATGGTGGAACAAGAGTTGCCACCCACACTAGTGCCCCAGAGAATTGCACAAGCAACTGTGGCCCAGAATCCCTTCACTTTTTCTGCATGTCACCATAACTTCAGGTGCGGTCATTCACCCTCATGGCCTCAATTCAGGGTAAAATGTGACTGTCAGCCACTTCTCCTGTCCTCATAGTAGATTCCAGCCTTTATTAGCCAGACCATTCTCCTAGAATTGGTGCACAGGGTGCTGGTTTAGGGTAGGTTTTCCTGACCACCTGCTCAGAATCTCCCCAATAGACTGTGGCAGGGATGACTATTAGCCAAAAGTAGTGTTTGGAGCAACCAAGCATATAAAGGAATACTTTGTAAAGTACCTGAAAGGAAGGCACCTGGACAGGTGCTTCATTTGCAAACAACACAAAAATGATCAATTCCCAGGCAGTACGTGCCAGGCCTCGTCTCCTGACATATACCGCCCTGGTCATTTCCCTCTCCCAGGTTAAGTTGTCAAGGCTGGTCAGGGAAAAATCCAGAACCAGAAGATACGAACACACATTTGAACTAGAAGAATGACATAGGATCTGGATACCAGATGCAGGGCAGGGACAAGGGAGCATGAGTAGCTGTTCCCCAGGCCCGTCAACATGGATGCCTCAGAGCTCAGTTGTGCCTGATGAGGGACTAGGCTATGCCCAAAAGTAGATTTCAGTGTCCCAGGCCCAAACTGCACAAACTCAAACACTCATGAAAATTACAGACCAAATAGACAGTTTTGCAGAAATGCCTTTTCTGTTCCACTAGTGACAAATAACACACTCTCCTAAGGCAGTGTTAAATGTCATGGTGATTTTTCTTGTGAAAACCATAGGCCAGTACAGACAATAACCACACAACCTTCCCAGTTTCATGCAGGTGAGCTACTGACTTTCTGGCTGTGCCTTTATAGGAAGGTTTTTGTTTTTGTTTGGTGTTGGGGACATTTTCCCTCTATATATTCAGACTCATCTCTCCCACCCTTTCTCATAAGGAAAGAGGAAAAATCAGACACTCAAACAACCCACCAGCAACAGTGAAAACTGCCAAACTATATTAGGTAAGCATTCACAATTGGGATCTAAGACATGGCCACCAACCCCCACCTCCCTCAGCAATTCTTTATTCCCTCCTAAAGGATTTGGCTCATACAGTATAAAGGTAATACCTTCTCCTTTTTGTACTTAGGCCATGGAGACCTTATCTAGAGTCTTAAAAGCTACTTGTAGCCCTTGATCCTGTTGCCATCATCTAAAGCATCTTGTAGATAAATATTTGTGAATACGGTTGCATATCAAGGAAAGAGTGAATTAAAATGGTATAGATCCTACCATTAAAAACTTCCCAAGGGGAAACAGAGCACTGTTCTAACAATAGTTTCTACCTAGCTGTGCCTGCTGGGGCAACTCAATTTCTCCGGGCTTAAGGATTCTCCTGTGAGGTCCTTTCTAGCTCTGATATTGTTGCCAACAGTGCCTGATGGCTCTTCTCTTGCCACTCACTTTCCCCTAAGTACCCCAACTCTACTTTTGAGGTGAGTCCTCCAGCTGTCCTCATTTTAGTCTTGGCTTCTAGACAGCTCTGCCAAGTGGCCATTTCCTCTTCTCTAGCACCCAGGCCTAACTTTCTTCTGCTGAACCCTGGGTCTCCCAAGGATGCTGTGTTTCCCAAAGTAGCTGGCCGCACAGACCACAGGCTCCAGGGGCTTTCAGCAACTCTTCAAGTTCACAAATCCTCTCGTATTTGTTCTGGGCCCTCACGCCTCTTTTGCAGTTACTGCCCCTTCCACACCCCTTTGTCTGGGTTCCAAAGGGTGGTAGCACAGGGCGCTGGGGGCAGGGCGGTGTGTCGAGGGTGGAGGATCCCACCTGCCACTCTGCCCACTGTGCCTGACCCTGCCTGGCTAGCTCCAGCTGGCCCAGGCTGCACCCCGCCCCCAACCTCCCTGTTGCACTCACCTTTCCGGCGGCGGAGAAGCCCCCTCGGCAACTCGATGGCCGCATCGGAGACACTAGGGGGGAGGTGGCAGGGAGGCCGCTGCCACCGACTACGTGAGCTTTTGGTGTTTGTCCGGGAGGCCGGGCCTGGGCTGGGTTCCCGGAGATGAAGACGACCAGGAGGAGGAGCCCAAGTTTCCCACCAGATAGGGGCGGGGCTGCGGGGTAACCCGGGGCTGGAGCTGCGCGGCACTAGCACCCCCGCGCGGACCGTCTCGCCCCCACCAACCCGGATGGCCCCTGTCCCGGGACTGTGGGTCACTCCACTTCGCGTTGCCCGAGTTTCCATTCTCGTGAGCAGCAAAGGGATTTGAACCAAACTGGGAAGGAGTTGGGACAAGTAAATGCAACTTTATAACATTCCGGCCTGGAAGCTGCTTTCTTACATAGCTCTTTTACTGAGAAAAGGCAGAGAGATCGAGAGATTTGGGGGGTGGGGAAGACAGGCGACTCGTGCTCCAAAACCCACTGCCCAATTGCTGAGACGTCCCCCATAAGTATCAGGTACCAAGCTGGAAACTTGTGCCACCTTCGAAACCGGGACAACAGGGCACAAAGGTATCTGTTGTCTCAAGCTCAGTCCCTCGCCACCCCTCGCGGCCGGGTCCCAAAGTTCCGGAGTTTGGGGGGTACACGTGGGTCCAGCCGCGCTCTATCCCAGCTCTGGTCCCTGGTTTGCCATCTCCACGTGGAAGCAACAGCTTACTCCAGCCCATCTAGTGTGTTCCACCACCGGTGTGTAGCTGCTAGTCGGATGGGTAAAGTGTGGGAGGCAAGAATCAAAGGGGAGCTGCCCTGCGCGCCCCTCGCCACGGGTTTCTTGTTACTGCACCTGGGACTCGAGGCTTCAGGAGGTACATACCGGGTACAGCTCATAAGTCCTGAGGGCAAAAGTGCCAGCCCGCTACACCAAACTCGTGAGGATGACACGCACAGCGACCGCGACGGTGGGAGCAGGGGCTGGCGTTCAGGTTTGCGCCCTGGGCTGGCAGCTGCATCAATCCGCGCGCGAGAGCACCCCGCTCGCCTCCTCCTTTCAGCGCGTCACCCCGGACTCAGGCTCCTGCAGCCGCTCTGCGCCCTTTAACTTTCCGCCCACCTCTCCCACTTTGGGTCCCATCCCAGACCCTCTTGCACGTGAACGCCCCCCGTAGCCAATGGGTGCGCCCGGGACGGGAGCCGATGACCAATGGTCACGATCCAGGAAAGCACTGCTCCTCCACGTGATCGGCAGCGTGCCGGGAGTGATAGGGCTGGCGTCCAGGGTATGAGAAAGGGGCGGTGGGTCACCTTTTCATCAGGAGCCAGAGGACGGGCGCCAGGGGGCAGAGGCGATTTCCTACAAAAGGACGTCCCGTTAGAGTGAGCCGGCTGGAAGCTGGCAGCGTGCAAAGTTGCTTCTTCCTAGGCAAAATCCTAACCAGGCCAAGGCACCCATGAGCCTAGAAGGCAATTGCAGTTGTTGTCCCACTTCCCTGCGGATCCCGCTTTCGTGATACTCCAGCCCTGGATTCAAGGTGACAGTTCCCTCCCTCACTACATGCAGAGCCCTGAGGGGTCCTGAGACAACATTGCGTGTGATTCCTTAGGTTTTATGGGGAGTCCTTCAGGATACATATCCTCAGCTCCTTCTAAAGTATACAAAAACCAATTATTGCTTTGAGTTTATAACTCGCGTCCAAGTGTTACTATGATAAAAATACAAGAAAATACTTTTTATACAGTTGGTAAGGGGCCAGGGGACCACAGATGACCACAGCTCATCCAAAACACGCAAATTTCCAGATGCTGTTGAGGGTTTCTCAGCTAAGTGTGTTTTAGAGGCGATTACCTGACTTAAATTTATTATAATAACTACGTGAATGTAGTTCTTTTTGATGATCTTGGAGATTGGTAGAGACTGACGACCTTAGTAGTATTTGAACCAGAGGCTCCTCTTCTCATGTTGATCAATTTTTGTATCAAATGAAATGAGCTAGCCACTTTGGGTGGGGGGAACTCTCAGATCTCTAGTTTTAATGACCAGTAAGACTTTAAATGTTGTTAATTGACATAGAATGGCCAACTTTTCAAAGAGCAAAGTAAAGACATAAATAAACCCTACATTTTTTTTCTTAAGTACTCTTAACAGTGATAACAAAAACGCAGAAAAGGAATGTTTTCCATCTTTCATATTGGATATATTTAGTATTATAAAAGTTCATTATGTTGAATATGGTGTTTGAGAATTTCAACTTCAAGAGATATAGGACCAGCTTCTAATCTTACTAGATGTACAAGACTAAAACATTAATTGGTTGCAATAATCCAATACAAGCCTTCAGCTCTACAGAGAGCTTCCCTAGGCACAGTTTCCCTGGCTGAAACGCAGATGATGATTATTAGTCATCTTTCTTCTCTTCCAAGGGCAGATCTGATAAAGGACCACCTGTGAAATCCGCTATTGGTAGGCGGTTGGCATTTTACCTTTGCCAACTCTAAACCCCCTTTAGTTAGCTGATGAGTAGGTTGAAAATTATTAAGCCAAGTGCTGGCTATGTTTCTTAAGTGTAGTGAGCATGCTAAAGGAGTGGTCAAAGGTGAAGAGCTAACAGGTATTGCAAAATGTATGCAGGCAAAGGGTGATCTGAACCAAACACAGGCCAGGAGTTGGGACAAGCAAATCCAATTTCATCGCATTAGGATTTGGAAGCATCTTTCTTACGTAGATCTAGGAAATCATGGGTAGTAATTTCCCGTGTGGTTTAAAATGACTATTTCAGACCTGGAGAGTGGGGCTAAATTTAGTTGTGGCATACCACGGCCTTGGTAGGTAGGAATGTGGCCTCTATGAGTCGGAAAAGAACAGTCTTTTCTTGCGACCAGAATAGAGCTGGGATGCAAGCTTAGGAGGGTTGTTCCAGCAGAAAACTGAAAACCCACAGCCCCCAACCCAGAGAGCTGGACCAGCCTTTAGATACACTCTTGCCCCATCCTCTCATTGAATAGCAACAAAGAGGGAAAGTGAAAATGGAAAATTTCAATGCCAAAGTGAATGTACACCAAGGTTCTTTTATGCTATCTGGCGTTCGATTTTAGTCTTACTTCTTTTATTAAAACCCACCCCCTCTGAAAAAATAAACCAAAAAACTTGGGGCTGGGGTTGTGGCTCAGTGGTAGAGTGCTTGCCTAGCATGTGTGAGGCACTGGGTTTGATCCTCAGACCCACATAAAAAGAAAGAAATAAAATAAAGGTATTGTGCCCATCTACAACTAAAAAGAAAACAACTTAGCAGTGGCTAAGCATCGCTAGTTATTATTCTTCCATAGGCTGTTCTTTTTCAAGACTGGAAGTATCGTCATCTTTCTTCTTCCTTGCTGGAACTGCAGGCTTATCTGACTGCTTCAGCCCTCTCTTCTTTATTCATTCCTTCACTCATTCACCAACACATTATTAAGTAGCTACCATATGTCAGGATGCTAAAAATGAAAAAAAAAGAGTGAAATATAATCTCACCCATCAAGAAACTCATAGGCTAATAAATAATGATGTGGACTAAATGTATGGAAGGTAAGTGTGTGTGTTTGGAGAGCTAAGAGGAAACCTTGGTGTGTGTGGCAGTAGGAGTGGGGGAAGTGAGAGAAGGCCCCCTGAGAAATGACTATTGAGCAGGCTCCTGAGGAAAGAGGTAGAGTTGAGGGGTAATTGGAGATAGCCAGGCAGCAATTGGCAAAGATGCAGATGTCTATGTTTCCAAGAACTTCCACTCTGCTGATTCAAAATAAGGTCTCCTTCCTGGATCAAATATTAGACTGTGTTCCTTTATTTTTGTATTAACATGAGCTTACTGCTCATCCAGAAAGTTTTAAGAAATATCATTAATGTTTTATCTCCTTCTCCACTTCATGCATTTCAAAAACATTTCAAAAATCTCATCCAAGATTTTGGGAGAGACTTTTTTTTTGAGTTCTAATATTCTCTTTGAATGAAAATGATTGCAAAATGAATCTAAATAAAAATAACTAGCATTAGGAGGCAGAACTAAAGAAGAGAACATTCTTTTGCTTGATCAGAATAGTAAGTGGGAAAAACTGTTTCCAAACTGCCCAAGTCAATTTATATTTAGACGAGCGGAGTTGTTTGCACCTGTCAGAGCCACAGACATGTTCTGAGCGCATTATGTTACCTGGGGCCCTCTGTCCCTCTTTCAGATTCCACTGACATTGACTTGCAAGGTCATGTTTTATGGGGACAGCAGATGATTACTTACAGAGCCACTCTATTAACCTTTGTCTATAGAGAATGTGTCCTTTGCATGTAAGAAGACCTTGAGTAGTTTATGTCAAAGCTTCTAGAGCCTGTTAGGGTGTTTTCTTACTGTTGAGGGCATTTGGGTTCTAGGATGGATTGATGTAGGGATTGCTCTTTTGAAAATTACATGACAGAGATCTACTTTTAGCCCCAAATTTCCCATTGTGCCAGTGCTTTGTATGAGCCTGTTTCCCTAATTTGTATTATTATTTTTTTATGACTCTAAAACTAAGACAAGATTATTGTAAACATGGTGGAAAATACAGAGTAATATAAAGATGGAAATAAAATCAACACCATACAGTGATAAATGCACATATAATTCCCTATATTTTCTTTCAGTGTTTATTCTGTACATACACATTATATTATCAAAATTATAATATGTATGTGTGTATATAAGTATGCATATAAGTATGTTTGTACATGCACACATATATATAGCTTGATACTAAATTTTTAATCATGACTGCTTCTCTTTTTTTTTAACCTATGCCTTTTTTTAGCATGTGTGTGTTACAGGGGATCGAACCAGGAACACTTCACCACTGACCTACATCCCCAGTCTTTTTATTTCTCAAGACAGGATCTCACTAAATCGCTCAGGCTGGCCTCAGACTCACGATCCTTCTACCTCTGCCCTCCTGAGTAGCTGGGATTACAGGAGTGCCACCCAAGTGACATATGCTTTTTAATGACTACATAACCTTTTTTTCATATGGAGTTACCACAAGTTATTAACTCTCTTCTTCTTGTGGGATACTTAGT